GAAACGGGAACCGGTAAGGGAGCCAGGGAGAAACTGGGAACCGGGAGCCGAGGGGGGAACCGGAGAACGGGAGCTGAGGGGAAAGGAAACTGCGGAGGGAGGGGAGCCAGGGAGGGAACCGGGAACTGGGTGGGGGAATCAGGGGTGAGAAACTGGCGGCTGGAGGGAGAGCCGGGAACCGGGAGGGGGCGAACCACCTGCTGACCAGGGCACTGCTTAACGGGACATACACTCGGGATTCCAGGGCCGGAGGCCAAGCTGGAATATGATTTCTTTTTTTCTTGGTGAGGGGTTTGATATAAAGTATATTGCTTGTTTAATTGGGCGTAGTGGCCACAGAGTGCTTTTTCTGAGGAGCTTTGCAAGTTGAGGTTTGAGCTACAGGATAGAGCCTCAAAGGGGCTGGTGAGAGGATTGCAGAGAAGCTCGGAGCTGTTTGAGGACACAGCTCTTGGAGATCCACAAAGAAGGAGCTTTAAGGAGTCTGGGGAACTTAGAGGAAACCCTTGTTTCCTGCCATATGTGGACAATTCCAGTATGAGGCTGCACTTGAATGAAGTGGTGTAGGGGTCACAGCTTTGGGTTTACAGGACCACAGAGCCATGGAAACAATCTCACTTTGAAAAGTGAGGGGGAGTAGGAAGTTTGCAAGATGTATAAGATATGAGGTACCACCACCTCCCTCTAAATCTGCTCTAAGAACCCAAATAAATACCTCCATATTTCAGTGATGCTAGAAGTGGTCTCTCTGCTTAGAGAGGTTAATCATTTGGCTTCCTTTCACACTTCATCCAGATTTGCTCTCTAAGACACATGGGTTGGTAGGAGTCTCTATAAACACTGCAAAATGCCTTCAGAACAAAGCCAGGTGTGCCTTGGGTGTGATGGACCAAATAATTTCTTAAGCTGTCTTCCAACTCTAGGCACCTATGAGCCAGAGTTGGATCTGTGTACTAGCAGTTACTAAGGATATATAACTATATCCTTGCAATTGAAATGTATGTTTTATATAAACAAAATTTAAGATGCTTCCGGATCCCATGCCAAAAATGTTTCCCTCCTGCCTTAATTTCTCACATAAATGACAGGCAAAGTAGCTGTTATAACGAGAGCATTACGTGATACGTTCTCTTACTTTGTGACTTGCCTGAGTCTGTCATCTCTACAGATATGACAAGGTTACATCAAGAACCTGATGAAGGATCCCCTAAAAGTTTTATTCCACACAGATGTAGCAATCTGGTGTTGTTTAGACCAAAGGTTTTAGTTTGATGATACTTGTATGAAAATACTTGGATTCTGCTGTTAAAATAACTTGGAATGGAGACGTGCTCCACAGGCTTGTTGAGATGCCAAGCTCTCTAGCCTGTGCATTGCCTTTGCAACGGTCTGTTTGCTAAAACTGTTTTTGCTGGCACAAAAATCAATATATATATTAAAAAAAAAAGCTGTAAAGAGCCCCCAAACTCCCAATAGATAAGCACACACCTGAGATTTGGATTAAGAAAGGAATTAGTTACCTTTGTGGTTGCAATGGTTTGGCTTCTTTGTTCTTTGCTCCAGGCTAGGATAAAGCAAGAAAGGATCAGCAGATGTTTCATTATATTCCTTTTCTCAATGCCTGATGAAAGCATTTTCACCAGCATTTTACTGCCTATCTAACACCTGAACCACTGCCTCCTTTAAAATCTCCTTTTCACTGCAGGCCATAGTAACTTTACACTACACCTTCTTCCCCACTGGTCATTTGTTTTGTCATAACTTTCCTAACATTAGTGATGTTGTTACTCACCAACCACACTCCGGGCCACGTGCAGAAAGGCAGCACACACTCAGATCTGTAATAAACAGTATTCTTAAGCCTTACCTAGAGCTGTAGCCTGTAGAGCTGCTTGTCTGTGTTACTCCTCTCTTTCTTCTGGCACACCCTGTTCAGTCATTCCCTACACCTGTTGAAGAAACATGCTCCCTTTCACATCTGCAACCACCTAGAATGTTTGTCCTGCTGCCACAGGGAAGCCACAGAGGCTACTGTTGAACAGCAAGGCTCGGGGCCTGCTCTGTGACCTGTAGCTAGAGGGAAGCCTGCAGGGATCAGCCTGTTCCTTCTGAGCTGAGACAGCACAGCAATACCAGCACAACCCCCCGGCCCAAAGGGAAAAGGTGCTGCAACAAGTCAAGGTTAAATTCGATCTCTGGGAGAGGGAATAAGGATAAAATTCCAAATGGTTACGCTTGGTGCAATTACATTCCTGGGCTAATTTACACTGAAACCAAGGTAAGTCACCTCAAAGGAAAAGCAGGGAGGCAGCCAACAGGTGACCTGAACATGCCTTTGGGGCAGTAGCATGAGGGAACTGGAGGGAGAGAGTTGTTCCCCTGGGGATTAACTGGCAAGTAAGAATGTTCTGCTGTTTCATCTGCTACCTGAGCAATTAGGCAACAGATCGTTTTTCTGAAGAAGGCAAGTGCATTCCTGATGTATTTAAATTTCCATCACACCAAATGCTGGCATGTACCAGGCTATGAACTCAGTGGCTCCTGCCCTTCTGCTAAAGAGCACTCCTTTCTGCAGAAAATCAAGCTGTGATTATTTTAATAGGTTATTGTCATCAACAGTGGATACTGCAGGAAAATCTTGGCAGGTAAAAGAAACAAGGATTTGATTGGAGAGGATTAAAGGTGTGTCAATGTTGGTTTTATCTGGCACCCTCTCAAATTAAAGTCTGGTTCTGTTTACAGGCACTTTGTTTCTTGTGTAGTTTCTCTAGTTTATCAGTGACTCAGAAATACATGAGTCTCCTCCCCCTGAGAGGGGCTTAACCTATGCATTGTAAAGACTTGTGCTGATGAGGTTTGAAGCAAAGAAAATCAGATTACTTATCTGTGCCACTACTTTGCCACTGGCTCTGACAATTTAATGGTGATTTATTATTTCTGGCATGCCTTCCAGGCCTCTTAGCAGAGTGCTCCAAGCAGAACTGCTCTGAAGTCTTCAGGAGTCTCAAGAGAACTGCACTGAGAGCCATTTCCCCACATCCATATCAGGTATCAGTTGCAGACAGCATGGAGAAACAGAGCACTATCTAACCCATGCCTTTCTTTCACTGCAGTCATTTCCTTGCTATGGCACTGAAATCTGTGTGCTTCACCCTTGGCCATGACATGTGGGCCAACTTCACAGGCGTCCTGCAGCATTCTGGGCTTGACTTGGCAGGTTTCTGCGTGCTGGTTCAATGACTGCTCCATAACCCAGCACGTGTGGGTAACTGTGCTCTCCGGAAGAGCTGGGCATGTGCTTAAAGCAAGGATGTGTTCAAGTACCTTGTGGCTTCCAGTCAAAGTGGAAAAAATTGGGCAGAATTCAGTTCTAAACAAGATAATGTAAAAGACCTGTTCAGCACGTGTCAGCCAGTAAGACTTTTGATACATTACTAGGACATGGGGCTGCTTCAGGAATTTCCAAGGAAGAGAGAGGAAGCCAGTGGTGGCACTGGTGATGATTTGGATCACTTGTGGTCACGAATTTGCCTGTCCTTGTTATGAAGGGATTAGTGCCCTAGACTTTCTCCTCAAGAGATCCTTTATCCTGCTCTGGTTTGCTAGAGGGAAACCATTCATGCTTCATGTGCCTGGAGGGGACACAGACCCCTCATGACAGTTGTCACATCAGGCACCTTGCTAAGATGGTGTGTAGGGCCAGACCAAGGAACTGCTGTTGTGATAAGCCAACGCCTGTCTCGACTATGGGTTTATGACATAAAGACACGGTTCTTTAAGATAAAGCAAATGAGCTTTTTGGAAGTGACCCTTTGTGAAAGAGTGCATCTTGGGACTTGTCTGCTGGGTGGGTTAGACTAAAGGGGTGAAGCACATGCAGAAACTGAAAGCTTAATACACTTGCCATTAGATATCTTTCTTCAGAAGAATGGCTTCACTTTGTTGTACATCAAACTTAACTTCTGAGTTAAGTTAACTTCTGAAATCTGTATGCTCATTAACCTCATACCTTTAGTGACCTTAACTTTCCCAAGTGCTCATGTGTAGACAAGCTCTCAGGACAAATGATGTTCCCAGTGAAATAAAACTTGGTACAGCTGATACCAGTGACTTGTAAGCTGGGAACAAACTGGAAAGCATCATAAATTCATCTGTGCCTTGCAGGCAGGATCATATGCTTTTCAACTGGCATAGCCAAAAATCTGTTTGTACATAGATATCATTCCTTCCCAGTGCTAGTCATTGAACAGATTCTGTTCTACATGCCAATGGTCTATAAGAGAGCAGGTGTTTCTATATCTAACGCACTTCAGCTCTGAACCCAGGGCTGTTATTTTGACTTGGGATCAGGACACATTCATTCCGAAGTCTATGATCCTCACTGCCATAAATACTTTTTGGTTGTTGTTGTGGTGGTGGTTCTTAGCATTTTGCATTATTTTAAAGAAAATATCACCATTATATTCTACTCTATTTGATTCAAGTGACTTTCCATACTCTACTTCTGTGGGGTTCATGATTTCCCCTTTTTAAAAAAGACTGATTACAAAAAATTGCATACAAGTGTTGATCTGAATCTAATTCAGATGGGTGGGTGTCTTGGTATTGCTACTGACTGCCTACAGAAAAGGTAGAGTTAGGTATGTCAGGGGGACTTACCTGGTAATCCCAAAATGCAGGCTTCTAAGGTGAGTTTGTATATAGTTTGAAGAATCTAAATTTAATATACAGAGAGAAACAGGTAGCATATGCATGCCTTATAACTAAATGAAAAATCTGCAAGCACTTTAAAAAATTCCCTCATGCATCCCATGAGGTGGGGAAAATACATGATATCCAAGGGTCATATCACTTGTGAAAAAATGTCGTTTCCTAAGGTATTCACAAGGCAGATTTACTTACTAAACCAGTGTCCAGCCCCATTTGTGTTACCTTTGAAGAACTCTCTGCACTACTGAAATGCCAGGAATGGCAGTGGAAAGGCTGGTGGTAAAGGAATGATGGGGCAAGGGAGATGATTTCCAAAATGAAATTTCAGGGTTTAAAAGGCTAGGAATTTCTGAACTGGGTGTCTGTTGTGAAGCCTCTGTCACCTCTGAGGGTCTCCCTGCTCGTCTGGAACATTAGATGACAAGTAGTCACAACTCTGCTTCACCTTGCCCCTAATTCACCTTAGCAGCATATGTCTCCAAGGATTCAGTTTCACCCTGCTGGGTGGGCAGAAATAGCAGCTTACTGTCACTAAAGGGGGGATGTACAGGTCCCTCAGCTGAGCCCTGCCTTTCTGCTGGTGGTGCAATTTTGCCTCTTACCTTGTGCTACTGTTGGCAGCTGTTGGATTCCTCTGCAAGCCAATTTAGTTCCCTAAAGAAAGAGGAGGGAAAAAAAGACATTAAAAGAAGAAAAAAAAAATATTTTTTTATTTGTTACTGTGTTAGTAACTAGTGTGATGTAGTGAGATTGAAACCATGGACCGAGGTGTTGGATGTTGTATACCAGCTGCCCACTCTCTGTGTTTTGGGATGTTTCAGTTTCACCTCTGGTTCCAGTCTGTAGACTGCATGGCCACCAGCTGGGCATTCGGGTTGGTGTGTGTTAGGTGTGCTTCTGGAGCACATCTTTGGTTTTATTTTGTCTGAAACTGTCTGGTTTGTGTGCTCAGCGATGCAAAGCCAGTGTGGTAAGGAGGGACAGTCAGGCAATTTGTTCCTAAAGAAAACCCCTGAGCTGAGCTAAAGCACAGAGACATGGCCTTAGTGGATTGAATCAGCTCTGCAGGGAAGGGGTAGTGGGAATGAGCTGCTGTCCTTTGGCAGGCTGTGTATGTGCTCAGCTGTGAGCACACACGACCTGCCTGCTGAGATACTGCCCAAATCTGAGTTCCTAGTGCTTACCTTCTTCAGCTTGAAGGCAGCTCCACTTCACTTAGAAAAGCTGATGAGTTGGCAGCAGAACACAGTATGCCATGCAAAGTGTGAGGGCTTTTAGCTAAAAGCTGTAGTCTTCTTGATGATGGCAAAGTGAGTGCGTCTGTACAAGAAAGTGGTGCAGGTGAGGGATGATACCTGGTTTGCAAACAAGCAACCACACTTCATTCATGGATTGGTGCAATTTTTGGGCAGGCACATGGTTAGCTGTGCTTGATAGGATTGTGTATACATAGCAAAATCAATCCTAAAAGCCTACTCGTCACACCCCGCTTTTGGAAAAGCTCAGGGTGTGACTCTCAACTGATATTAGTGCTATTTGTGAAGGGTAAGCTCCCAGATGTAAATCAATGGCCACGATTTTAAACAAGTAATTTGTAAGCACCAAAGCTGATGAAGCACGACTTGCTGTGTTTTCTACCTGGGGACTGATCGCCTCTGCAGGGTGGGCCTGCAGTCTGCCAGAAGGAGGGACTATAGCTTTCCTGTGTGCACAATCTCTGCTCTGCAGAAATATAGGGGCATCCTTCATGAGGATAAAGCAGAGTCTTCCCCTTCTGCCTATTTGCATAAAAATTAGAGGACCTAAACCTTTTGAAAAGTACCTGCTCCTCTGTCCTGTGTGGCTTGAGTGGGCCAACACTCTGTCTAGGTGCTTCATTTCCATGGGAAGCCAGACAAGAACAGGGAGCCAGGGGTAAGCTTCCAAAACTCTATTTGAAGGTAAACCAGAAGCAAAGAAAAACACATAGTAAATCATTGCAACTCCCACCTTTCTGGTACCTGCCTCTTGAGCGTGGTTCCAAACCCTTTCATGGTTCCCAGTCTGCAGTTGGAGGGAGGAGACAGGCATTGCAGAGCTGGATTGGGATTCTGCACAGCAGCAGACAGGGAGTCGTGTGCTGAGAAGCACTTAGGGAGTATAGATCTCATTCCAGATCAAAGCCTTGTGCTTTGCCACCTAAATTCTTTCATGGATCAAGTTCCAAGTTAATAGGTGAACCTTATATTTACGCTCCCAGGCTGCAATTTATAGACCTGTCTAGCAAATTTGAAAATTTAACTGGGATGTGGGAAACCAGCTTGATTTGGGAGAAAAGACTTACTAATCGAGGTTTGCAATAATCAGTTTTTAACTGGATTTTAATTTGCATAGCCAGATGTCTCAGGTCATTTTAATCTCCTTACAGGCATGCTGCCAGCTAAAAGATTTTTTGTGTTTGTTGTAGGTAGCTAAAGATGGATGCTCCTAAAGAAGCTCAGCCTACAGGAGAGTTCGAGTGCCAGCTCTGTGGGTTAACAGCTCCCTACACGTACTACGGGCCGAGGCCGCCGAACTCACGCTCTGTCGTGTAAGTGCACTCTGGGGTCACAGACCTCATTGCTGCTGCCAGCATTAGAGTCCTTGTACTGTGCAACAGTGTGCACTGCATGAGCCCAACAACGTGCCATATTGCCCCTGAACATGAGACTTAAAGGGATGATCTTTTTCCAAAGGGAAGGAATGTTAAAAATTGTCAGCGTTAATAGCAAAGGCAAAAATCAGCTTTCCTGTCCTGCTTCAATACCATGCAAAGATTTGTATTTCACCTATTTCCTGGCCCCACTGACCACTCTGCTATCCACCTACACCAGTACTTTCTTGCTATAATACTGTTGACTGCCAGCCTAGTACTTCTGGGAATAGCCCTTTCGTCACAGTAGCCTCCCTCAGCTGGGCAATACATACACACAGCATGAATGAAATATATATGCTAAAAACACTTTTTAAGAGCCATTTGACACAACCTGGAGTTCTAACAGCAGTGCTTTTTTGCATGACTTAGACAATCCCTTGTCATATCGTATGGAATTAAAATGTGTGGATATATAGTACATATTTAAATTTTAAGGGACTGAAGCCTTTTCCACCTCTGCTAAGTAGGGTTAGCTTAACTAGAAACTATGCAGTTATAACTTGGTCTGCAGACATTAAAGTCCCCATAAAATAAAGCACTTTGCTTTAAATGCATGAGTAGCTTGGTGGAGGCCATCTTGGTAAATGAACCTGTCAGGTAAACATGGTCAGGAGCTAACTGGGACTGGAAGTCAGGTGTGTACTCAGCATTTCACCCCAATAAAACCACTCAGTGTATTACAGAATGGAAACAGTTGTTGATGACCTGCTTGGGCTGTTTTCCTTGGGCAGCTGTATTTTTATAATCTCAAATCCCACAGTGCTACTGGTTTTTCCCTCCTCTACTCAGCAGAGCAATGGCTCACCTTTGATCAGGTCCATTCCTAAAGAGTCTGAGTTGAAGCCGAATGTGAATCTTAACTTTAGGTTATCCAAGCTCAGCATTAACATCTCAGCTTTATTTGGGTTGCTCAGATGCCAAAAGCAAAAGAATAATGCTGAAGAATATCACTTCTCTACAGGCTTATAAGAAACAGCTTCACACCCCATCTCTCTTGGCTGGCTTCCTGGCTTACTCACACATCCCAAAAGCAGTGCTGCAGGAAACCTGTGCTGGATGGGAGGGCTTGTGCAGTGGCCAGGGCTCTGCATGATGAGGGCTATGTTAGGGCTGTGAACCTTGCAAGGGGAGCTTTGCACACGTAATCCAGTCTTTGTGTCCCAGGAGACTTGCTGACAAAGTGATCTGCCGTGTTAAGATGCCTGATCTTTCCCAGCAGTGGAAGGCTCTGGCCATACCATTTTTTGTTTGAGTGGGCAGGAAAAGGAGAGAGGAGCACGCTCATGGGCACACACATACCTGTGTGTGTGTGTGCATAGGCAGGAGAAGGTAGTATGAGTTAACAGGATACCTTTTATCCATATCACTACCAGAATCCAAGTTTGACTTAAGCCCAAGAGTAAGCCAGCCTTGCTGGGTGCCCTGTGCAGACAGACACCCAACTGACTTCTGTAATATTTTGCCTGGAGCTCCCAGGAAGAGTAAGGCCATAGTGTTTCCCAAGCAGGTTGCCAAATCATTAATAAATGCACTCCCTTAATACCCTGGAGCAACCAGTACAGTCTGTGACATAAAGTAAGCACACTGCAGGTGATTGCAAGGCTCTCTGGCAGTAGCTCCTGCTTTCAAGAGGTGGGAAACCTTAGCTTTACAGCAGTGCCATACCTCAGAGCAGTAAAACCTTTGTATTTCATACTCACGTGCCTGCAGCTCGGGAAGAGAACCTCTCATTGAAAGCTGTGCAGCTGAAATGGTAACCTGACAAAGTACTGAAGCTGGCCGTGCAGAGGAGTGCCTGCCATAAAAAATGGAAGAGAAACAATTACTTTAAGGTAGAGCATTCAGAAAAACTTAGTAAGGCGACACTGAGAGGCTCACCAATTGCCCTAATTTTGGAAGACAGAAAGTGCAGTACAGGACTGAAGGCAGCTGCAGCATTGAAGAGAAAAGGAGCTGCAGAGCTGCTCCACTGCCTCATGTACAACAGCATGCTGAGCAAATCAAGTACAAAGGGCTGATAACTTTTCAGCCTCCACAATTTCCCCCTCTTAACTGTCCCCTACTGTGAAATCTACCCTCAAAAGCTTGAAATTGTTCTTTTACAGGCTTTTGGAAGAAGCCTATGTCATGAAGGATCCTTTCACCCCTGACAAGGACAAATTCCTCATCCTTGGCTCTCACTGCAGTTTGTGTGGCAGATCAGTGTGTGTCGGTACAGTAAGTAACAAGCAAAACAAGTTGCTTCAATCTTTTCTTTTTGTTTCAGTCCCAGTGACCTGTTAGAGAAAGATCAATCAGCAAAAACCCAAACAGCCTATTTTTAAGGCAAGCCATTCCCCCTTGTCCTACCAGTGCACGTGTGTTAATTGTACATAATTGTATGTTCTTGTGGATTCTGCCCGTGCTGTGCCATGCTCGCTCTCTCAAGAAGAACTGAATTAGAGTAGCAGCTGGTAGGCAACCTTAAAATGTCACGTTTAGCCTTCCTTTTTAACAGCAGAGGCAACACAGACACATTTTGGACAAACCTGAGCACATTTAGCTATTTTCATTCCCAAATGAAGTGTCTTGAATTTATGAAGGATTCAACAGATATTTCCAAGTGTGGCAGTTCAGTCTGTCAGAAATACAGCATTTCAGCCTCTCAGGATCTTTGCACACAGTGTGCTTTTGTGAATGTAGGTGGGTCTTTTTCTTGTCTTGGTTTCAGTTAACCCAGGCCATGGCAATGCATAGAAGACACTTGCAGTGAGCCAAATGGAAGCCTCTTCCAATCTTTTTAACAGTCCTTCTTATTTTGCCTATTGTGGAAATATGTCAATCATTTACTGCTTGTTATCTGAGTTTTCAAGATTCCCTTGATGGTATCACTGCATGTAAAACCTTGATTGTAAATAATTGAGAATAAATTTCTTACCCAACTGGCCAGGCCAGATAGTGAATCACACATATGACTATGGTTTCAAAATGTATTTAGCAATACTGCTTAGGTAACATTGAAAGAGATCTGCAGAAATGATAATTAGTGCTTGAAACACCCACACCACAAAGTAAGTAAACACATTCTATTCCTCTTTCATGTAGGGAAAATTAAAAGTCCAGAGAAGTAAAAACTTATCCAAGCCAATAGAGAGAGACAAAGTTAGGATAATGTCTCTGTGGATTGGTTTTGGTTCCTGCTTATGCTTGACCCAAGTAGATCAACTCAGCCCTGGGCTGAGTGTTTCTACAACGTTACAACATAAGAATTGAAGCTGAAGAAAATCATGCTTTCTTGGACCTCTTTGGCAAAGAAGCTGGACCAGTTGGAAAGGTTTTAGTGACAGGTTGCTTTCAATTTTATGGAAATTCAAAACAGTGCTAGGCTAACATGTGACAAAATTAAGACTTTTCTGACCTTAGATTTGGCAAAGGGATTGGATTCATATTCTAGCTTTTGCACCTAAGGAGGCCTAGATACAGATCAGACTTTAGGCTTTTCATGAGACAGCCCATGCTAGCAGAGGTGTATTTCCTTACAGTTGCTGTGCCAATAAAAGTCACGACTTAGCAACTGTTCTATATAGTGCTCATAAACTCACATCTTCAGATATCCTCTGAAGTTTCACTCAGTTAATTTACTCCAGTCATCTTGCAGCATGTATCACCCTGCTCAACCAACCAGTCTTTTATCACAGTGCATTGGTAAGTGCCATTAGTTCTGGTCCAACTGGGAATAATTCTAATGACTATCTGTAATGTCTTAAACCCCGTCAAAACCCCACAAAAAGGAAGAGAATAAAAAGGCTTCTGAAAGTCCTTGGGCAGGTTGAGTACCCTTCTTCCTATTTCCCTTTCAGAAAAGGGGAGACAAAAATTATATAATCTGACCATGTTAGTAATTTAAAACAGTTATTTCTGTTTTATTGCAATGCTTTCTAAAGGTAGGAAAAGAGGTGGTTTTGAGGGAAGAAAGGAGGAAGGGGAGCAAGTTTCATCCCTTATTGCTCACCTCAGCAGAAGGTGACTAACCACTGACCTTGGTCATGAGTGTAGGTATTAAGTGATAAATGTAATACTACAGCTACTTTCCACTCAGCTTCCAGTCATGCAGGGTCAGTCCTGGGCACGGACAGGCAGAACCATTCCTTTACGTAGTGTGGTAAAGATACCATCCCTGTATACATTACTTTCAGACATGATTCATGTCAAAACAGAAATAAACTCCGGCAGCATGCTCTGGCACCTCAGTTTCGCCTGAATTGGACTATTAAGTTTGAAATTTCCATGTCTCCCTCCTGCCTTGGTCATGGAAAGAGGAAAATATATTAAAGAATCATCCAATTAAACACAGAACTGCACCAGGATAATGGTATAAAAGAAGGGCTTGACTTTACGTAGTAAGTTTAATTTATAGGGCATTAAAAGAAGAGTTAGGACAGAGAGGAGGACTAAGGGTACATGGACCCAGCACTCAGGTGTGCAATGGTTCATAGTCACAATGTGCCTAAGTCCCGTCGGCCAAAATCAGCACCAGCTAGCAATTCATTTCAGCCAAAAGAATGCAAGCTGAGCCCCTGTGTTTCCTGTGAGGAAATCTTAATTTTGGAGATCCCACCTGCAGGATGGGGGAACAGCCTCTCCCCTCTCTGCCATGGCCCAGGGGCCACCACTGGGAGCCTTGAGCTTACCCAGGGGTGGGGGGGCTGCAGCACAGACAACAATAGCAGGACCAACTCAAACCTAATCTCCCTTTTCAACTGGCAGCTTAACGTATTAAGGATACCAAAAGACAAAAACCAATAGGCTCTGGAGGTTGTGCAACTGAAATCCAGTTTCAGGGCTTTTCAGAGACGAAGGCCTCACACTAGTTCCTGCATATGAAGGGGCCTTGCATCAGTGCAGAAAAGGACAACAGATGAAAGAAGTTGTTCCTCAAGCTTCCAAGTCACGTGGAAGCAGGCTGATTGTGATTTTGATATAATTACCAGCTGAATCTGCTGCTAAAGTCCAGATAGTGACATAGGAAACAAAAGCAAGGACAAAAACACAGGAATAGCCAAGCCAAGCTCCCAGAAGAAAGCCAGCTACAAATGACCATGGCAAGGGAAAAACTTTGCTATTTAGGTAAGACCCAGGGAATCCATTTCTCCCCAAAAGATGTCCTGATCTATCTAAAATGATGTCTTTATTCATGCTTAAATCCCCAAGAATAATCCATCAGCAACACCAGCTCCAGCTTACCCATGAAATCCTATTTGGAATTTGGTGATCAGCATGTCAGGAGAACCATGGACGTCAGTCTCGCTGCAGGGCAAAGGAATAATACATTAATAAGCTTCTCTTCTAGTTGTTCAAACTCTATGCTGCACATAGATTAAAATATTCCATAGGTTTTGCTTCTCCCCATTCAGTAACTAACATCTGGTGACAGCTCCTGGGTGAAAAATAAATACTGGGTCTGTAGCACTTGCTGACAACCAAACCAGCTGTGAACAGAGCCTGTCTGGTCGCAGTGTCATTCCAAGGACAGTGAAAATACCTTCTATGGGCACAGCAGCTTTTATACTTTGCCATCAAGAGTTCAGAGAAGAGGTTTTAACCAGTGAGTACATTCACTGAGGGTAAAGGTGGGTAATGGGTGAAATCTCATTTGAATTGTCTCAGCTGAGTGGAATTCATGTAGCTATTCTGGGTATTGGACACCTCTGTGACATTGATATTATAGTGATACTTTGTAGTGTTCTCCTAGGACAGTACAGGTGCACGGATTAATAGAAGGAAGTGTAGTTTTTGGGGAGTTATGGAGAAGTGGCAGCTAAGGTCTGTGAGAGCCCACAGCCCCCTGCATATCTACTTGGTACTTGTGCTGGCCTCCAGGCCATTTTTGTGGAGAGTGGTGAGGAAGAGAGTGTTGAGACTGCAAGTCTCACATACCAGTGCAGGAATTTGGAAGACCCTCCCAGAAGGGAGAAATCTTCATAAGCCAAGATTTAGCTTTAGAGGAAAACTTTGCTGTTTTGGTAAAACCAAAATATAATGGAATCCATTACATCTTTATTCATGCCTAACTCTCCAAGAGTAATCTATCAGCAACAGCAGCACCAGCTTACCCAAGAAATCCTATCTGGAATTCAGTCCTCAGGCCAGGAAACACATGGATGATGCTGGAAGGACAAGGCAGCCGAAGGAGATGTGTTGCTGTTCCCTGCAGCAGGGAGCTGGTAAAGGTCACTTTAATGGGAGCAGTGGGACAGTTGATTTGGTTAGTGCTTATTTCAGACCTAGGTTTTATTTTTTACCCAGTTAGCTCTAACCAGATCTTAGAATTATTAAGAAAAATTGCTGAAATATTCCAGCCTAGAAGAAGAATTAATTTTAGAAGAATTCTAAATATAAATGTAGTTTAACGAGACTAGAACTTAAGCATTTCCATTTTGTGTATCCTGCTAATAATGGTGGGGGTTTTTTTTACAGGAATGTAGTCTGTTCTACTCCAAAAGGTTCTGTCTCCCCTGTGTGAAGGAAAACATAAAGGCCTTTCCTTTGGAAATACAAGAAGACATGGATAAAAGGAAGCCCCAGCAGAAATCCTCCAAAAAAACACATACAAAACATAAATCCTGAAGGACCAAGAGTGACAGTTCTTTGGCTGGGGTTTCTCCTCTCTGTTCAGAGACTATCATATTGCTCCTTTTAAAGAAGTGACCTTCATCAGCTCACTACTACTGAAGAGAGTCCCACATTTCCTTACCCTGGGTCCCGGCGTCACCGCGCAGCAGCCGCGGGCCAGCGGAACGGCTCCCAGGGTGGAGGAGCCAGGAGGGAAGGCAGACGAGCCTGCTGTCACCATGGAAAGTGCTTGGAGTGAAAAACCAAACAGCAGAGGAACCAGGTCCAATTCTACACATTTGCTACTTCGATGCTTTTTGTTGTTCTTGACACTCCTACAGTGTTATGAGAATCTGAGACACATTTAACTGGCTCAATTCAGGATACATCCAAGAAAGTCACTATACACCAGTCGTTATCTGGCAGTGCTGTGCTGGTAAGATTACAGTAGGCAGGGAATTTAGAGCTTTAAGTCTAAAATAAAACTCTTATGAGAAAATGTCACTGATACTCATAGAAATACCTGAATTTTTCAATATGATAATCTCGATACTATCGTAGCATTGAGACTCCTGAAGGTTGTGCTCCTATAATAAAATACCAATAAAAATACTTACAAGTCCTTTGCACTTGCAGTCACTCAACCTTCAGGTCCATGTCAGGACAGCAACTGGGGAGGACCCTGAACACATCAAGTTTATGCTTTACAATAAAGGTGGCTTCCTTTTCACTTTCACATCAGTTAATCTGGACATAGAAGAGTTCCATTAATAAACTCAATTCTTTCTGAACTGGGCAATTAAACTGCACCTAAAATAGGGATGTCAGAAACAGTTTCAGTTAAAAAAAAGAGTAAAAAGATGTTACAGAAACAGCAGTTTCTTTAGCTCAAAAGTTAGCTTCTCAGTTATCTGTTTTGACTGTCTTAAAAGATGATTTAGGTGGCTTTTACGTAAAACCAGTCACACACCCTAAGGATATATTTAGAAAGCTCCCTAATCACAAAATCACCTTTTTTACTCAAGTTTTTGTTGGTCATTGGTTCAGAACCTGTTACTGCATTGGTTAGCATCTCTTTTTTTTTCAACTCATCCATGCATATAATTTGTCATAGGACAACATCTAAACCTGATCATTTTAGTAGAATGAACATGTCTCTGTTAAAAGAAGTCATCATTATTTCAATGTTATTTTTAGTTTTTAGGACATTTGAGTGTCCTTTCTTTTTTGTGGACTTAGTATTTTGGTGTCCTCTGTTAAGGACTGGAATTTCTTGCAGTGACTAGAGGAGCAATAATGGACCTATTTGCTCCATTTAAAAATGGAGCCTTTTTAAGCTCCAAGTGCTTTAAGACATAAAAAATATATATGTCTCTAATTGTGGGAAAAAAAGATCCATGTTAGAAGTCAACATTTCAGATACCTTTCTGCAGTGGGTTCCTTTCCTGGAAATAAAAGATTAGCACAGAACATTAAATTCACTTTTAAAAATACTTTATTTTTCTTACAACCATTAAGGCAAAACCGTATTTCAAATTAAGGTTGTTTACATTCAGTCTGAAAGGATTACTTTTTTTAAAGCACATAGGTTCCTACCAGGCTCTATACAAACACTGTGAATTCAACCTCTTATTTTTAAAGAAGACAAAAAAAATCAGAATGTAAAAAAGAAAAAAAATGTTTAGTTCAAGTTTTTATCCTAGATCAGTAGGCTGGTAAGGTTTGAGAAGTGTCATTGTATTTAGCTAAATGTAACTTTTACATTCACAAGTGCAAGATACATTTTCTTTCCTAAAAATCCCTGTGAGACCAGAGCTTTCATTCGTCCTTGGAAGTGTCATTTGCATTGTTCTGACAGAGAGAAACTTGGGAACTTGGCTTGAATTAGTGGTTTTTGCTGGGAAACAAGCATTCCATGAGAATTAGCTTTGACTACTCCATGCAAGAAATGTCTGCTCTTTCTAAGTTCTGTGTTTACTGCAATTAAATGTATCCAAACCTCTAAAAACAGGTGACTGGAAACAGTGAGCTGGTTGGTGGGTTTTTTTCCTCTTTAATATTGCTATTTTGATTTAATAAAACACTCATTAGCTTAGTGATTAGGGTTTGGCAGCATTACAACACTGTGCTTTTTCTGTGTCATACCAGCTAACAGACCAGTTAAGATGTGCGAGGGGGCCTTAACATCATGACATAATTAAGCTGTGGTGTTGCATTCCTAAAGAAGATTCTGAGCAAGTAGGAAACAGCAGGAGCCACACAGGATGCAGCTCACCCCAGAAGCTCCTAAGCCAGACTTTGTCCAGCTGCAGAGGGGGAGTTCTTGTGCAAACACATCCTGCTGGAACGCTGATTAGATTGGTTATCGCCACAGAGGCAACCGAAGCCACGGATGGTGCTCCTCTCCTGGGGGCCAAGGCACTGTGTCCCGTGGGGACGTGCTGTGTGGGGACAGCACTGTGTGGTGTGTGGGTGAGTCACCCCGGGGTGTGGAGCCCTGCCCAGCTCTGCAGCACATCCCAGGCGGGCTGAGGACACCGCACTCCAGGTGGCACGACAGCAACACAACAGCAACACGACAGCAACACAGCAGCAACACAGCAGCAACACAGCAGCAACACAGCAGCAACACAGCAGCAACACAGCAGCAACACGGCGGCAACACGGCGGCAACACGACAGACAGCAACATGGCAACACGGACAGCACACGACAACATGACAGCAACACGGCGCGCAACACGGCGCAACACGACAGACAGCAACATGACAGGCAACATGACAGCAACACGGCGGCAACACGCTGCTCGTGTGCTGCCAGTATGTCCATGGGTCAGGATTCTCCACCCTGCCAATCCTTTTTCTTTCAAGTGTAAAGAATGCCATGAAACTCCCTGCACTGAGCATAAGGCTGGTGTCCTTACCATGATAGGGATTATGGTACCTGCATATCCAACCTGAGAAATATACCAAAATACTGAAAAACAACTTCAAGTGCCTTTTGCTTGATCTTGCAGTCCTTACTTAAGGTCCAGCCTGTAATCAGAGTAGTCTCTTTCATGCATGCTGCCTATCCCCTGGCAGAGGCAGCTCATCTGGAACTGAGGTCCTTGCAATAGGAATTCTGTATTGAAACACCCTCGCAATGGAATCTGACAAGATTGACTGACACAATTGGTGAAGGAGCTCAAGGAAAAAAAACCACCCCAGTTTCAGAAGCAGAAAATAGATTAAAAAACCTCTGTAAGTGCACTGGAGAAAAGAAAGGAGGAGACACCCTCCTTCAGGTGGGCTGTTACAGCGGGTCTGTGTCCCAGTGTAAAGCAGTGGCTCCATCAGTACCTCTCACACGGTGTTCCTGCTGCCAGCCAGACTGAGGGAGGTGAGCACTGGGAATCCAGTAGAGCTTTGACAGATGTGACACAAATGCCTCAGGAGAAAACACACCTCTATGGTGACACTGATCAGGTGAATATGTCAAGTTGCAGCAATTTGAGGAAATCAAATTTTCTGTTACAAATAAAAGGCAGGAAGTACAAACGATTGCTAGAGCACTTGTAACAGATTGTGCTTGTGGTAACTGCTGTGTTGGGATTACAGCAAGATAAAAGGTAGATACCTTTGAAAGGTACCTTTGTCCCTGTATCTCATTTCCTCAGCAGCATGCTGTAGGCACAGACTAGCACACCTGCATCACAAGACACAGAATCCCCACGAGCAGACTCCGAATTCAGTTCTATTTAAAATCCTACAGGAACACTCCTATAAGGAAAGCCAATAGTGGCATTTCAGCATTGTGTTTTGCACTGCCAAATCATAGGTTTGAAAATGCATCTACCAAAGCTGCAGCTCGCCGTCAGGGCAGGGGGCAGGGAATAATCCTGAGCACACGCTGTCACTGCCAGTGAGCCACGAGTCAGTTCCTCAGAAAACACCAGCACTGGCACACTGAGTGCAGCTTTTTTTTAGCTCTTTTCAGACTTCAAAGGAAAACGAGCCACCAGGCTGCAAAGCAAAGATTAATTCAGTTCTACAAACTAACTTTTGTATTGGTGAACTCAAGTTAAAAACCTTGATTTTGGGATTACAGCTCCTCCTCAACTAGACTTGCTTTTATTAAAATCAAATAAAAGGAAGTCTATGTTCTATGTGAAAATATATTTTAAATTTTTGTTACAACTGTCAACACCAAACACTGGTAACTTGCAGAATTTGTGATGTTTCTTCACAAACGATACAGCAATAAAGACCAGACAGGAATAAATAGCAATTTGACTTCAGCCTCTTCATCCTTAGCCCATAGAAGTAAAAGTTTCCTCACTGTACAAAAGGGTTCACAAGATAAAGTATGTAACAAATATTTAAATTAAATAATTTACAAATTTTTCTTTAAGCACCTCCATAATTAATTTAGTCAAAGTTTATACCTTGCAATTATATTCTTGTATTTTACAAACTGAAACAATGACGAAATGGTATTACATTAAATTAAAAAAATCCCACAACACATAACAATGTCAATAATCTGAGATCAAACCCACATATAATTTAAATCTCTGGTAAAACAAGGGTAATAAAGCTGAATAAACCCAGATACAAAAATTATATGCAACCGATTATCAGGAAAGCACTTGAGATATAAGCTAGCACCAGATACCACACTCCACCGGATCCAACACTTCCTAAGGGACGAGGGGTTTCTGGGAAGGACCATTACTTGTAAGACCTTGTGCTTGAACAGTATCACAGCAGCTGCAAATGCATTTGTGAAGTGCAGTTGCAGATTTTCAGCTCAGTCCCGGGGAGCCTTTCAGGAGGGACAGAGCTGGAACTGTTCCCCTGCAGCCACGGCAGGATCCTCCTCAGGGGCTCTGCCTGAGGTGGTGCCCGAGTCTGTCCAGGCTCCCCAGCAGAAAGGAAGAGGAAATCCAAATTCAATCATATGTGCCCCAGCTCTCGTGATGAATAAATCTCCCCAAGTTTCAGCAGTTTGAATAAACAAACAAATGTTTAGATGCTTATTATAAGCTCTTTGATGTGCAGCCCTGTGCCAGCTCTCTCATGAGAACGGGCTTAGTGCAGCCGCTGGGATTTCCGAAATCTGTGCAGGACAGAAACAATGCAAAACTCTGCTCTCTGGCAACACTTCAGCTCTGAACCAAAGCTCAAAGGCACATGGAAATGGCAATTAAATGCGAAATGTGGTTTCTTTAAATGCTACAAAAGATGCAGTTTCTGTAAGTGGAAACTTTCCTACGATGTGCCAATTTGTGCTTAAAACAAAAGTGGGATTTGAAGTTTAAAATGGTACAAAGTAACTGATTTTTTAAAAAGTACCTTTAAAGAAAATATTTCAGAAGGAGAGAAGAACAAACATCAGATTTCCCTAATACTTGGCACAAAACCTTCCTTTTTTTCCTTCCCCTCTGTCAAAGTACATAGGGCACCCCAATAAATAAATAAATAACCCCCCAAACAACCCTCAAAAATTAATAAACTGTAGGTTTGCTGAAAACTTATGTCATACCATTGTCTCCCAGGATATTTCTCTATCCATCTGCTGTCTCTTGGCTTAAGCTGTTTGTGGTGCCTGGTTGCTAACCCGAGCTCTTCTGTGCTATGACAGTAAAACAAGTTATGTTGGTAAGAATCTGATCCAAACTGTACCTTACAAGACAGTAATTCTTTAATACATTTTAAATCCTAAAATCTGATTACTTTATTTCCCTCCATAGAAGGGGTATTTTAAAATACTAGATGATCTGTACACAGGGCAAATGCTGAAGTAATAGATCAGAAATAGATCTCAGACTAGTTCAGATTCCAAACTTTAGGAAAAAGGACACAAATTGAGTAATGTTAAAATCTGCTTGGCCAAAGCCTGCTGCAGACACCTCCTGAAGGAGCGAATGCAATTCTTTAAAAGCGTAATGTAGAAATGAAGAACTTCTTTTGCCCCTTAATGCTCAGGAAGGGAATTGTGTGCCCTGTGTCACTCTTTAAAGTGACTGTGGGAATGTGCACAGGGCAGCAGTGTGGGCAGTAGAACCCACCCAGAATTTTAGGCTGTGTTAACATCTCGTTCATATTTCTGTAATTCAGAGATGTGTTCTTTCTCTTTTTTTTTCTCAATAAAGGTCTGCAATTTAATTTAAAACAGAAATAAAACTTCAGTGTCCAAGGAACTAGTCAAACATTGCTTGCTGGTTTTCAAATAACAAAAAAATTATGTGCTTTTCTAATGCTGATAATAGGACCCTGTAACAAGCAGCTGCTAAGATAGCTAAATGTTAAGTCTTGAACTGAGTTATTCTGTTTTCAATTCTTTATAGCTTTGCTGAGAATTTAAGTATTCTTAAATTATTAGGTTTTATTATTATTAAATATTTAAATGATTAAATTTTCCACATTTTTCAAGTGTTTCACTAAAGTGTTTTAGCCACCTTTGAGAACAAGAGCAGAAAGAATAGTTGTTGGCCACACTGACTGCGTCTGGTTTTCCTGAGGACCTTCAGTACACCCAGACTATGGAACACAACTTTGAAATCTGCCCTTTGCAAAAATCAAAGCTTTGTGGGAAAAAAAACTCAAGTTACCCTTTTTTTTTTTTAGAAGATAACAGCTGGCTGCTAGAGTTTCAGTATGCCAGCCCAGAAGGGCTGATATTTTGACAATTTTTTGCAGTAGCAATATTGTGTATCAATTCTTTCCACGCAGGATGCTGTAGGCCTAGAGCCCATAGCTCCTCAGTGCCACGAGGCTGACTGGGAGGATGAAGCAGCAGCTTAGCTGAAATCCTGTCTGTGTGTCTGAGGGCACTCTGCCTGCTGCTCTGAGACACAAAGGGCAGCCCTTTTCCCATCCACGGGTTCCTGGCAAGGCCAACGGCCTCTCGATGGAGTGTCTGGGGCCTGTTCTTCCTGCTGCTGGTTGGCAACAGCCAAGGGGAGGAAGTTTTGTGCACATGCATTTACTCTTCCTATCCTGCCCTAGATGGTCACAGAATTTGAGGCCTATGCTTCAGTATTTTACACTAAATATACCTGACACTAAAGCCTCTGCTCATGACCCTCTCCCAGATAAACCCCAAGTTGCCTTTAAACCTGTAATTTATCCAGTGTCCATAGGCCTGGACAGAAACAAGCATTGCCACTGAGATAAGGATCACACTGGGATGTTCTCACTTCATCAATCTCACTCAGTTCTTGCAGGGAAGACTCTGGTGTCTCCAAATGTGTACAATTAAACAAATACAAAGTGTCCTCCTGTGCCACTGAAAGCTCAGCTGTAGTGAAAATGCTCAGGTTGACTCCTGAGACCTTGGTGCTATGAAACAGAAAGTAAAATTAGGAAATAATAATGTGCAGTTACCATATTAAAGAAACAAAAAGGAACAGAAATAGCAGTGCCTTGCACGTAGCTGTCACTTCTGGGCAGTACTGTCTGAGGAAAGAGCCCTTAAAGAAATGAGGACATTTCCTTATGGCTTATTTTGTATCAGGAGTAAGGTGCAATTGTAAAAATCAGAGTTTATCTTAGGAACACGATAGACTTACTCTCAACTGTGCTGTCTTTCCTATTATTACACAGTCCGACACCTACAGACACTGTTCTTGGTAATATTGTCACCTTATCCCCGAGGACAAAACAACGGAGCGAATACTTCTATCAACAAGGCCTAAGAAGGAATAGAAAGTAATATATCCAGGTGGATAATTGGAAAAAATGAAGCAGTGTATTCATCAGAAAAGCAAACAGGTCCAAACAACTATAATACACTTGTATGTATGTATGAGAAGGTGCTTTTTCTGTCTAATCATTCCTTCACAGTCAGCAGGAATCACTGCAGCAGAATGCTGTGAAGGTAAAATTCTTTTTTTTCTGGGCTAGGATCAGATTTTTCAATCTCTCCAAAACTCTTGCTAATTCAAAAGAGTATTTCTAATTCAAAACTGCATCTTGAGCTGTAACAAGTTCTCCAAAATATACAGGGTATATGATACATTTCACCTCAGGGACATTTCCACATTTCCTTAAAACACTTCCGAAAAAAAGAGTTCCATCACTTTATCACGTTTACTCTTCAAAGAAACACCCGTTGGAGCAGCTCTGCAGTATTTTAGATAACTATTTGGATTTTGTTTCATTTCATAAAAGAACCATCTTTTAAACATGCTAGTCCTAAGGTATGCCAAGGTAACACTATGTGAAGCTGTGCATCATCTAATGGAATTAAAGCAGCAGTGGATCAAAGGTCTTTCCAATCTTTAAGAAGTGTATGGACAGTAATATCCAGCCATTTGGTACACCTAGACTAGGAAAAACTGTTAGCTGGTTTCAGTAATTACCATTAGGCAAAAGTGCATCGTCTTTCTGATTGTGCATACACCTGGAGGGAGACGGCTGAATTTGTTATATTAATTCTAAAATGACTAAGCCAAGAGGAAATAAAATTTTGTTCATTTCTGTTACTTAATATTCTGATTTATTACACAAATATGTATTCCTTACCAATCTTCAAATTTCCAAATAAAAGAACCATTGTAAGACACTTCATTGAGCACTCTGACCAGAACTTTTTTGCAGAACTCTTTCAAAAGAAGGCAAAAGATCCCAAACCAAAAGAAGTGTAACACTCCAGTTCCCCAGTCTTAGATTTTTCCTGCTCTGGGCTGAGTGAACAGCACGTGACTGTGCAAGTAGTTTTGCTCCCATCTGTATTTCTGTGTCTTTAAATATTGTGAAAAAAATACTAAAAATCCTTAATACATATCCCTGTAGATTTCCTGTAGTAAAGGGTGTAAATGTGCATCAGATTCAGTCTTCTTGATTATCTGAACGAGCTGAGCGTGCTCTGTGACAAGCTGTCGGAGGTCAGCCATTTTCTGGAGAAGTTTTGGGAAGAGGAAGGTGTCATCAGGATGGTTGGTCTGCAAGTGAAGTTTCAGTACGTGCACAATGCTCTCCTGCATTTTTTCAATGTGTCCTACATTTACGAGACCGGGACGATCTGTTCTCAAAACAAGCAAAAGAATACATGTCATAATTTTATAATGACTCATGAAAGTACAGTTAGAGGTAGAAGTGAATCTTCAAGAAGGGTAGAAGCTTTTCCATTAAAATTAATTATTCATGTGAGGGAAACTGTAAGATGTACTGCCTTAGAGAACAAATATGTAATGCTTACCTCCACAGCAAATGATGGCAGCAACAAAAAGGGATATATCGCTGTCATCCAAATCCAGTGCATTGAATTTCATTGCAAAATCAAATTTTGGCTCCATTATATCACAGAATGGCTTTCTCAGGCTTTTCAGGAACTCCCGGGTTATAAAACCATTCCCATAGGCCACCAGCATCCCGTCCTTGTTCATCACAGAGGCCAACATGGCAAATATGGCCTCATAAACCCCGTATTTTAATAGCGTCACTTGATCGTTCAAGTCCAGGCTGGAGAAGCCAGGGATGGATTTGGCAAACTCAGTGAGTTCGGTGACGGTCTCTACAGACGTGCACTGGCAGCAGTGGAAGATTCGAACTTCTGCTTCCTTGTTCTGAATCCCATTGGCTACCAATTTTGCCACCAGGGTCTTCTCTGCCATACATAAGGTATCCATATCATGGATAACAAATGGCTACAGAGCAAAAAAAAAACCACTAATGTAGTTATTAAATAAAGGCTATTAATCATTGGCTTCCTAAAGAGTAGGAATTTTGATGAACTTTGATTTACGTGCTAATCTTTCCTATTTCTGCATCAAGAGAAACACTGCATGACAGAACTACAAACTGCAATACCTAACAAGTCTGCTCTGCAAACAACACTGCAAAGTGTATGGCCTGTCTTTAATTTAGTTTGATCTAACAGTTATAGTGAAGCTCCAGCAGTCCTGGGCTTAGTATGCATATACCCATCTCAGAGCAAGTCCCAGAAGGTTCACAAAAGACTTGTATTACCTTCTCCAGAAGCCCAGGCTGCTCTGTCTACACTCCTATCGATTCCTAAACTAACTACACCTGATGCACATCGTGATGCTCTCCTGAGGTATCCTAGGGGGAATACAGACAGTCATTTCAATAGAGGACCGGAATGGGAACCCTGCATTACTCCTGTGTTTCGCCAGCAGATTTTCAGAAACCATGTCCCAGCTGTCCCACCTTTCTAACTGCAGCTGGTGCTGCATCATCTCTAAACACAGAATCCCACCAGAATGTCAGACAACACAAAATTTGGTCTTTTCCATAGCCCCCTTTGTTTAGAGAGGTATGTGGGTTACAAACTGACAAGCCACTCTCTCAAAACATCCTATCAAAAGCAGCATTCAGCCTTTCTTCAGAATAAGCAGAACTCAAAAATATTTTGATACAGATCTGCAGAGCAATAATCCAAACAAAGGGCAATCCACTAAAGAAAAGCAACAAACCTCAAAGCTTCCCAGCCTAGTAGAGTCATGGCAACTGACCTTGAACAGAAATCTAGTTCCATACACACCAAGCACCTTTCCTTTGCTGTTCTGCTCATCTCAGATTAAACACGAGAAGCACTTGGTGGTCTGTTAGAAACTCATGGGATTTATTTATTTCACTCAGCAAACTGTCAAACAGGTGAGTTTCCTATGGTTGTCCACTTTTGAAATGCTTAACCCAACTACATATTCCATCTCTCACTAGCACAGAGCAGAACTTTCTCTGGGCAGGTGGATATGAGTGCAAAGTGACAAAGCAAGAAACCCAGCACATCTCTAAATCCTTTCAAAGATGTACACTACCTTACACACAGTTTTTGGAATTTATCATCATTTCACTATGCAGAAAAAAGGTATGGCCAAGGACTTAGGAGCTAAATTTAAAAAAATTACACCTTAGTATCACGAGAAACGCTTGTTCATTCTGAAATTAATTGCAGCTGTGCCATAAATTAGGATTCACTGAAATCAGCTGTTAATGTACAGCTTCAAAACAGGTGGGTTGCTAATTACAAGCAACAAACCCCTTCTTTCAAAATTTGTTTTTCTGCTAAAAATTCGAAAGAAAATTAAAACGTTCGTTTTCTCAAGAGATGATGAAATAGGTTAAAAACCTTCTCCTTTTCCCTGCACATTGAAAAATTTGGAAGCTTAACACTAGGTCTGATTTCTCCCTAATTGTTCCGTGTACATTCCCCTGACACGTGAGGCACCACGGGCTGCTCTGGCGTGTGGCTGTGACCACACACATGCAAACACAAGGACTGGGCTGCAGTGCTCTGGGACCCAGCCCTGCATGTGTGACACACCTTGTGCCTTATGGTTCTGACAGCTGGGGACAAGCAGGAAAGGGACTTTCTGCAGAAACCCACTCACTGAGGTGTTAAAGGTGGTATTTGCTGTAGCCTTATGGCAGCTTCTACCCCCTAAAATGTTTAAGCCTGTGCTTAATTTTATACATCTCTTTAATCCAATGAAAAAGCCTGAGATAATTCATGTGTCTCTCTTTTAATGCAGAAAGCTGTAAGCTTGGCTAGACTAGACTGCAATATGCCAAATTCCATAATGTAGAAGACAGCTTGCTTGCAATTTTTGTAACACTCATCCCTACACTTACATGGTTTTCATTATGGCATACAAAAACCTCTTCCCTGCAAGTTTTTACTGAAACTGAAGTTGTTGGTAAAATAAGATACTTATCTTCTACATATAAGTAACAAAACCCACAACCGAACTTAAATAAATATGCAAAAAGTGAAACAAGCCAGTCCTTACAACGATTATACACTTTCCTCTGCTGCAAAACAAAAAGCAGGTGGACAGCATTAGGTAGACCTTGCCTATATTATCCTGAAAGAAAAATAACTTCTACAGCATATGTGTCTTCACAGCCTCGCTCCTGCCTCTCAAAGTAACCGTACAGTAAAGAGCAGGAGGGCTGGGGGAGGAAATGGCCAGCACTGGAAACAAAAAAATCACAAACTCATCTTCTTTCCCCTTCAGCTATTAATATTGTTCTGATTACAATAAAAGTCATGCAGAGCTCCTGTACAGCCTACAAGATAATAGTATTTATTCTGGCATTTGTGACAGAAAAACATTATAATTTTTTTTCCCACTGTCATAATAGGAAATTAATTTTGAGCCATTTCTCCCCTATCAAGAGCTATTGACATTCAGATGTCACTTTATTTTTTGATTAAGAATTAATTTTCATTCCCTTGTGTGTCTGTTACAATTTAATATTATGAGTTTCCACTTACAACTCAATCTCTGACTTTCCTAAAGCTTCTTACTATTCTTTTAGGGGTTAAAAACAACCATATTAGTACAGATATTCTTTTTGAATATTTCATGCCTGTAGGAGCATGATATTTATTTTCAAAAAGATTTGCTAAAGAGTTTAACAAATTATTATGATCACCTTTTGTACTTGCCAGCTTTATCCTAAAGTAACAGAAAAAGTACTTACCGGATTGTTATTGGTTTTCCCTGCAAGGATGATTCTGGCTTTAACCTTGTTCATATTGAAGTTTTTCAGGTAAGCATCATGAATTCTTTTGGCAAGTGATTTAAGATCTGCCATTTCTGAATCTTCTACGTAATTTTCACCTGTTAGAATTTCTGCTTTCAGCTTGGCCTTCTCAGACCTTGGCATTCTTCCAAAACGTATTGCTGATGGGAAGATACAAATGTAAAACAAACTTCAGGTATAAAGAAATTAAAGGCTTTTACCATTGCTGATTAGGGTAGTGAGACTTCCTGTCTAGAAAAACTGAGGTGGAGGTGAAGAAATCTCCTCCTTTCCAACACAGTTAGTGGTGACTAATACAGTAGGTTAGTGTATTAGGAAATGAGATGTTTCAGCACACAAACTGGTATCTGCAGTGAGGTAGAACACATGCCTTTTCCCTCCTACATGACCTAGGTACTCGTATTTTGTTTTCTCCTTATTGTGTCCTACAGCTCCCAGCGTGAAACTCAAAGTCCACGCTGGGAATTGTAACCAGCTGAGTGAACTCCTGGCAGGAGCTGGCAGGGAGCACACACACCAGCTGGAGAGCTGGAGAGCCCGGCCCAGACCTGCTGCTGGCTCTGAACACGCCTGGGTATGGACATCTCCTGGTTCTTGGGCAAGTGCTCTTGCCATTTAGCTATAAACCAGGTATGTCCACCTCCTTGGGTTTCAGTTTCAAACCAAACCAGCTCCACTTTAGAAAGGGCCTTACCCTTGGGAGGCGTGCAAGGGTTTGAGATGGCTCATACAACCAGTGACTCGTTCTGCATTTCAGCACCCAGGCTGGGACCTCGCTGCTTGGACTGAGCCATTCAGGGCACGGGCAGCACTAGGCCTTACACGTGCCCAGGGCATCTTCTCATGAAGGAGGTGACTCTAGACATGATCTGACATACAGCTGTGGACTTCAGTGGAAGTCCAACATGGAAGGCCTGTTTGGAATCTGGCTTAGGTGCTTCCTTCCCCTTAGGGGTGGGTCATCACAGCAATCTAATGAAGAGTGGAAGAACACCTGCTCTAAACCCAAACGTACAGTTTTAAGGTCGTGGCTGTAAATTTAGTTCTAGCTTTTTTCCTGAGAAATATTGCCAGTGTCTTAGTAGAGTGAAACAGCTTCAAATGGATGTCAATGCCTGCCAACTGGCACAGCTCCCTGCTCAGCTCCTGCCCCTGAGATGTCACTCCCCTGGCTGGCACGCTCTCCCCGAGTCTGCTGCTTCAGGATGGTTATCACCAGTCTTGCAGAGACTATCAACCACCTCCCAATGGACCTCAGTCTCAGTCAGGACTCACCACAAGGGAGCAGAACCAGAAAGTCAACTCTCCTGATGCCTCCTGCTGGGACTCCTGACTACAATGTCATAAGCAGCTTCCCCAGCCATGTTCCCACCCCAGCTATCCGGACTGCATAGTTTCCTTAGGAAATTTGTCTCCTAACCCACAGCTTCTCACCTAGCCCAGCATTTTCACTCATTTCCAAATTGCACCTGCCCCCAAGTTCAGCCCTGGCAATACCTGACCTATGTAGGAAAAGCAAACTACAGTCATCTGGCCAACAAAATGTGCTTTCTCATGGCTTGGCCTCTCCCTCTTCACCCATGTTGCTCAACAAGCTGCGTCCTGCCTTGTGGGTTGAAACTGGCCTGTAAGCCACAGGCTTACCACCCTTATCTTGAATCACTAACACAAACAACAATATAACTTTTAAACTGGGTATCTAAATGCTCTGAATTTTTACCATTCTATTTATCAAACAACCTACTGGATTCTTGTGCCACAGCCAGCACAGACCTTCACCCTCCCACCCCCTCCCCACTTTCTGAACCATCTGCCCAAGAGCTTTTGCACTGTAACCTGAAAAATAATGAAGTCTGCTTTCCTACAGATTTCTATCCTACGTCATTCCCTCTCACAATGAGCTAGTTGTTCTCCTCCTACTCCTCTACAAAGCCCTTGATCAGAATTCTTCCAGTACTGAAATTTGTTTCAATTGGAGTACTGGTGCCAAAGTTCTGGGTGAAGAAAGCAAATAAATGAACATTCATATGGACAAACTGACATCCAGCACAACTGTGTAAAGCTCATTTGGCAGCTCTGTACCAACCACATGAACCCACCAGGGAAACTGGTGTCCCCTGCCGCAATCTGTCCCGTAAAAAATCTGAGGTTCAATCCATGTGTATGAGTAAAAACATTATCCAGGTGCCTGCTTCCAGCAGCAGGCTCTGGGTGGGAACAAACAAATTAAGGGCACTCTTACCTACCATTATGTGACATTCCAACTGAAAGGCACTTTTGAAAACGACAGTACTGGCACTTATTACGGTTTTTTTTCTGAATTTTGCAGTTGCGATCACATTTATCATAGACGAGTTTTAAACGAATTGTTCTTCTAAAAAAGCCCTATAAAAAGTTTAAAAAAACAATATGTAATGTTAAAGAATGCTGACTATTAAGCTTCAATCATACAGGTAATTTTTTTTCTTTCATTGTTTATTGATGTGACTCGCAGAACAATTCCCAAGGTGTAACCTGTCTAGAAGCACAAATCGTGCGGTGCAGTGGCGGTCCAAGGGCAGGTTCAGAGTGGAGAACACGAAAGGGGGGAGCAGCTCTCAGCCCTCTCTCCTGGGGGAAAGAACCAAGAACCCAGAGTACCTGAGCAGATTTGCACTTAGGGATGAAGCAAAACAGTCACATTTTGCTTTTGTTCGTGTTCTCTCAGTGTCCTCTGCCAGAAATACCCTTCATCTTCCACAGTGGTAGTCACATACACACAGAGAATCACCAGGTTTTCTTCACCCAGCGCATGTGAGGGGTATGAGGACACAGCACAGGGCACAGAAGTGCCAAGGACACACAGCTGAGTGTTGCAGCACAGCCTCTACCCCAACAGCTCTCACCACGACGTCTCAGTGCTGGCTACAAACTCTGAAACCACGGGGTCAGCAAACCCACAGCCAACCCAACCTTGTGTGTCACATGACAACAACACGGCATTTAGGCTGGGGACACACCTGGCTGGGGACTGGTCCCCCACCTTGAGCAGATATTCTGCATTATTCCCTACCATTTATATTCACGTGATCATATTCTGACATGGTGTATGAAAGAAAACTGTACACAGAGACTACTTCTCTCCTCTCGTATTGTAATGCAGAAAAAAATCGAAAACTAAAACATCAGATGAAAAAGAAAAGAATCTTATGATTCATGGGCCATATTATCCCAAAAATGATACATTAATGATGAGAGTAATTTGCCCCAGAGACGTGCCCTGGCCCCAAAACTACAAGAGGCACAATGCCAAGTGATTCAGGCACAATGTGGCGGAGATGAGAAATTCGGGACTTGTCACTGTTACAATGGAGCCATAGCAGACTGGCATGCTCCTTGCAGCCATACTGCCAACACAAACCAAACACCAGTGGAGCAGGAAGGCTTTCATTTTTGGTCACAGTTTGGTGTTTCAAGTTGTTTTAGTGCTTAACCAACTATATCCAGAAAAGCAGTGTTAAAATGATCATTGCAAATCGCTCCTACTTGACAAAGGTCTGCTGTTGAGTTACGGTGTCTGAACAATTTACTTCGGAAAAAAGACCACAGATATGTTTATATTTAAATAATTGTAATGGCTAGAACTGTCACAATCAAACATTTCTGTGCCAAATATTTATGCTCATATTACCCTGTAAATAAAGCAACGTGATTTAGGTTCTTAAGAAGAAAATGATGACTGTACCTTACAGCCTTCACAAGCATGTACTCCATAATGGTAGCCTGAGGCTTTATCCCCACAAATTCTACATTCAATGTTTAATGCTCCACTGGATGATTCATCTATGCTACCTGGAGCTGTGGCAAAATTAATGGATGAAGGACTGGATGCTGGTGAAAGGGTGTCTAAAAGAAAAAGGAACACTTCATAAATACTATACTATCCAGGTTGATACAATTTCTAAATTAAAACCACACAAAAAATGAGCTTTTTCTAAAAAATAATCTTGAGTTAACAGTCACTAAATGAACTAATAATTTAACCATAAGTCTTTGAAAAATAACTCATATTACCAGTGCAAACACACACAAAACACAGGGTGTACCTTGCTAATTTTGATGGGACATACAATGTCAACAAACAAAAAGCTTTGCTGAAGTGACTCTGGAAACAAGAACTAGAGGGGCGATAATGGACTCAGTAAATACACATCACACTCAGATATTTTATGTTTTGCTTATAATGGGAAAAGCATTTCTGAATTGTACAATGAAATAAACTCTCCAGATGTGTTACTAGTAGATGAAGATGTTACAAAACTAACAAGTTCCAACCTTAATTATTTCAATTAATATTTCCACCTTGTGTAAGGAAAATATTTTCTGAGGCCAGGATTTCTTCTATCTTCCATCTTGCAACTTGCACCACAAGACTTCAGCAAATTAATGGGTGTGTTATTTTAACAGACAGATTAAGAAACACTCATGAATGTAGGTCAGCAAGTATTATGTTGGAAAAAACCTTGGCATAGAACTGAGAGTCGGCATTGCCAGTGCTGCCAAGCCCACAGGCATCAGAGTCATCAAGAACAGCCTAAGCCCCAGAATTTTTTTAAAGTGTGGTTTCTTTTTCCTTGCCTTATGGAATTTGAGCCTTGGAAGTTTACATTTTGCATCTTCTTTAATCACAAAAATAGAACATTTTGCAATGAACACTGAATACTCAAATGAGAAGGTGACACTAGAAGGTGATCTAAATCATTGTAGGGCCTGTACAAACTTACAAATAATTGCAAAACCTGTCTGAAGGACTATGTTATAAACACATACAGACATACATAAAGCACATCATAACTCCTCCTGTACAAGGCACCCCTCTAATGAGAATGTCTGCAACCAAAAGGGAACCAAATCGTAGTTCTACAAACATCCCTTTGGCCAATAGTGCCAAGAGGCAGCTCCCCCTGCTCCCTTCCAAACTCACACAGCTCTGTTACTGCAGGTTTTGTAAGGTGGAACAGGGATCACAGGCTGGGAATCGACTGAAAGTTAAAAACCCCTAAAACCAAACCCTAATGTCAACCAACCAGAAGGTTAATTGTAAACTACTTCAAATGGCTCTACAGCTAAAAGGTTTGCAACCCCCCAGGTTTAACAGGAACACCTCACTGACATCACCAGTGTCCCACACCCTGCAGTGATTCCCGTGCTGATCTCTCCAGCAAAGCCTCTCACAAAGGTTTTTGACTCTGGACTATGTAATGTACGAGCACTGAGACTGCAACTGGCTACTAATAATGATTTTTAAAAATTATCTTGAAAAAGGTGTTGATAATAATGGTAATTTACATCAGAAACTTCATGCTACAGTCATTTTTCAGTGACATTTTTCTAACAAACTAACTTAAACTTAAATATTGAAAGACCATGCTAGAATCAGTTTATATATTTCTAGTGTCTCTTCATCATAAAAACCAATTTAAATAAGTTTTTAATTTCTATCACTATATTTATAAAAGAAAGGTTTGTGATAAACCAAAATTCTCTTACCTGTTATGACTGAGCCATCAGATCCTGGACCATTTCCCAGTGACTGGAACTCTGTTAAGCTTAAAGCACCAGAACTATCATCACCTAGAGACTGGGAGAGGTCTTGAATGTTCTCCATATCTTGTAGGAACTCTCCAGACAAAGGGCTGTCTATATCCTCCTCCTCCAAGGGAGTAAGGGGATAGAGCTGGTTTTCAGTGTCCACCATTTTGATCAAGCAGAGCAGTCACTTAAACTTCTTTACACTGGTGAAAGAATAATTTTAAAAAAAAATCAGAATATTAATTTTTTTCTAAACACTTGAACCAGTTGCAGCACACTGGATACAGGAATTCTAATCCAACAGTGGAATATTATACAACATTCTGTTGCTCTGGAAGCTTTATGCAATATGAATCATCAACAACACAGGGGGAGGGGGGAAATTCCCCAAAAGACTTCAATATGAATGAAAGTTATGACAAGATCAATCTGTAGATTGTTGTTTCCTCTCCATTGCTGAGAAAAGTTACAAACTGTGTAAGAAGGCACTATGCACTTCCCACCAAAATTTTATAACAAACATCAATATTCCACTCACTCTTCTTGAGTAGGAGAAAAAATGAGATGCTGTCCCTAACTTGCCATCTCATACTACAAAGACCTTAGTACTAATCTATTTGCCCAACTTTTTGGAAACAGGGTAGTTTTAACTAGAAAAGGAAAATTATTCTGTATCACACAGTGCAGCAAATAAGAATATCTAGGAGACCAATGAAGGGAATTTATCTGTGATTCCCAACATCAGTTACAGACAACAGGTGTGTTTCTGTCCCAGCTGTGCTGCCAGTGAGAAGCTTCACACGCCTCAGCACCCCCCGTGCCCTGGGCTGATCCCACGGTTTGGGCAGAGGGAGGGGGGATCCTGCCCCTCTGCCCCCAGCTGAGACCCCCCTGCAGAGCTGCCTCCAGCCCTGGGAACAACAGCACAAGGATGTGGAGCTGCTGGAGCGAGCCCAGAGAAGGCCCCAGAGATGCTGCCAGGGCTGGACCTCTGCTCTGGAGCCAGGCTGGGAGAGCTGGGGGGGTTCCCCTGGAGAAGAGAAGGATCCAGGGAGACCTGAGAGCCCCTTGCAGGGCCTAAAGGGGCTCCAGAAGAGCTGGAGAGGGATTTGGGACAAGGGATGGAGGGACAGGACACAGGGAATGGCTTCCCACTGCCAGAGGGCAGGGTTAGATGGGATACTGGGGAGGAATTCCTGGCTGTGAGAGTGGTGAGGCCCTGGCACAGGTTGCCCAGAGAAGCTGTGGCTGCTCCATCCCTGGAAGTGTCTGAGGGCAGGTTGGATTCTTCAGGAATGTATGATCACATCCCCAAGGCAAGTGGCACAGATTACTGCAGATAATCTGACAAAGATTTTATGGCTAAGCCTTCTGCATGCATTCAGAACAACGCCTGCAATCTCACCAAGACTCAAGATACAGAGACGTTTGGCAGATGAAGAGTCCTTACAAAACATTACTTTGACAAAGAAAGAGAGAAAGAAAAGGAACCAACTGCAAACACTCCTGGTTAACATCACCACTTATTCTCTGGCAATACTTTCAATCTCAAACATCTTTGTACCATTTCTCTGTTGAGGCAGCATGAGCAAGCCCAGTCACACCCGGAACTAGCTGTGCTGTTTGCTCTTGGTTATCTATCAAAGTCCCTGACATAGGCAGAACACACTCAAACTGAGAAATGAGAAATCACCTGTATGGACCTGTGAAAACAAAGTTACATTGCCATCCCTGAGATGGAGCAATTTTGTGACCAGGGAAAAGCGCAAAGAAACCTCGATGTACCTTGGTTTTGTGATGATAGCTGAGAACAACTGTTCTCCAGCAATCCAAACGAGACTACCACATTTGTCTCCCTAAGGAGGCATCAACAAAAAAGGAAGGAAAGGAAAGGAAAGGTGTGGGAGCAGAACTCTGAACATGGCAACAGCTGCCTGGTATCGCCCAAAGTGCACCATCCTTTTCCACATTTACAACCAGTATGAAAAATTCACCAGCCTTTTGAGCTAAATTTACATAAAAACAACCTAACAGCTAGTGAAACATAAATTGGGTGCTTCTTGTTTTAACTATTACATACCCTTTTGTACTTTCAAACACTACAAGTAAATTACAGCTGCTTAATCATTACAGCTCTTGTCAATGATTAACTGGTACCTTAGCAAGCATACCCATTTCTGAAGACTGTCAAAATACACTCATATTTTCATTACTGAAAAAGTCATAACTGATTTTTTTTAAAAGCACAGAAAAACTTTAAATAATATGTCTAGTATTCATGCAGTAAACTGCCTTCTGGCTTCTCTGTGTTTTGGGCATGTTTCCACATGCATATGCTTTCCTTGGCAGGTTTCACATAATAGGCATTGATCCTTGCTTGTATGAAAATAAAGCTTCTAAAATAAAAGGGGTAGTGAGTATGAAGCTCATGTAAGTAATATTCTCAGACAGTGTTTTGCTTTACAAAAACCTGTACGTATTACAACAGTAGATGTGGTAGCTGCAGCATGATGATTCCACTCAGACACTTGTGTCTATTAAGTCTTTACAAAAATTCTGTGTCACAAACATATTCCCAGAGGATTTACTTAGTTTCCCATATAATACTTTAGTCTCCATAACCCCTTTCCTACCCCTACATAAAACATGCACAAAGTAAACTGAAAACAAGAGAATAGAACATAGAAAAATAAGGACACAATTTCATGTAATTATGGTTTTAAGGTTAAACAGGCTTTACTGGTGCTCTCTCACATCCCGTTATCTCTGAAATATGCCAATTTTCAAAGGAAGCCTTTCCCACCACCACACTGCAAATACCCACTGAGTAACTTACCTATAAACCTGGCACAGGTCTCACAGAACTCACAGATTATCCCAGCAGAGCACCTAATTGTGCAGCTATCGGCTCTTTGCCTCAATTTTGGAAAGGGATGGAGGGACACTGAATCCCCGGCCCTTCCACATTTAATACTTGCCCCAGCAGGGGTAATCCCTGCAAGGAAGCAGGTCTCTGAGATGCAAAGGTCTCTGGGGAGCAGTGCCAAAGTCTGAACTTATTGCATACACAAATTGATCGTGTAAAGGGCTTGCGTGCAAATAGCAAGGTTAAAGTTGAAACAATCATTACCTCCAGGTCACTTGGAGAATGCTGGGGCTGAAAACAGCACATGTAAAACTAGTGATTGCAGTAGATACTTCCAGAAAATTAGGCGAACAGGAAGAGCCCTGAATATGTAAGCTGCAGGATATTTCCAATATCCTGATACAACACATAAAAAACAACTGAAAATAAAAAATTTGGCACCTAAAATGTGACGCTCAGACTTCTATCTGGGAAAGGATGCACATTTTTCTTCTCTATCACATGACAATTGATTCAGTTTCCATACTCTGTAACCTTACATACTAGTAATATTTTATATTTTACAAAATATTAAGAACCTAAGACAGAGAGAATTTACTATACTTGTGATGAAAAATTTTCCTAAGCAACCCCTTCATCAAAACTGCCAGTTCCACACCCCTCTCCTGAAAGAACTCACACTGGAAAACTTTGTCTTTGCTCCAAGACAGCATATGCAACTTACAAGTACCCTTGCCTTTAAAAGAAACCAGAATTCACATACCCTAATTTTGAAAATTGATAGTAGAACTGTAAAGGTAAGATCTTAAAAGCTACGTGAGGAAAAGTTCCATCAGCCGTGATTCCGACTCTCTCCCCAGTCCCACGGCAGGGCAGGGAGCAAGAGGCTCCGTGGGGCTCGGTTGCCAACTGGGGCAAAGCCATGACAAAGTGCTAAAAACAAGATGGGAATATTTCTTTTTTGGTTTTATATCACTTAAGCAAACCCAAGGAAAACTTACAGAGACAGGAAGCTGCATTTCTTTGGTCCCAGGATTTTCTGTCCCCTTGGATTTTAAAAGACATTGCCTGGTGTGTATTACAGATCAGTGTCTCTGAACAGGACCGCTCATCCCCCTTTTAAATGCAACCTTTCTGCTTTAAGTATTCAGCTGCATTCCCAACCCGTGATTACATATACACAATTTCCTCCAATACTTTCTTTTACTTATTTAACACATTCGTTATACGCTAAATAGTTCTAAAAATTGTTTGTTTTGCCAGGATTACTGTTTAAGATGTAACTAATACCAGGACAGCAACAAAACCATGCAGGAGATAATTAAACTATTTATTTCAAATATCATATCCTCTCACTTTCGCACAGATGCAGTTACTAAGGGAGCAAAAAATGACAAGGCGGAAATTAATTTTCAGCAAACAGAAATAAGAGAGGTAATTCAGCTCACCTAGTGTCAGACAGCTCACTTAACATGTTTGGGTTGAGTGGAGCTCAATGGAATTTCCAGAGCCGTGACTAATCTTCCAGGCCATGATTACATACTAAAGATGTGGTACTTTTCAATGAGGTCCCTTCCCTGATCCAGTTCACTGCAGAGCCTTACAACTATTAGTGCTGGCTCAATGCAGGGAGCAGAAATAAGCAGCTGGGGAGAGGGATACACGTGCTGCATGGCCAACAAACAAACGTGCATGCGCAGGCTGAGCCTCCCCTACAGAACGCAGTGACGGGTCTGTAACCCTGCATCTGCACTGCCTGATGGGTCTGTAACCCTGGCACCTGCACTGCCTGATGGGTCTGTAACCCTGCATCTGCACTGCCTGATGGGTCTGTAACCCTGGCACCTGCACTGCCTGATGGGTCTGTAACCCTGCATCTGCACTGCTTGATGGGTCTGTAACCCTGGCACCTGCACTGCCTGCAGGAAAGAAGCCAGTGCCTCTTCAGGCCCCGGGGAGAGGTGAAAACTGCTTTGCAGATCAGGCAGCATCTTTATTAGATAAGTGGTATTATCATCTTTTGACAGGGGCATGGAGGTCAGGATCATGCAGGTTGGTATGGGCACATCCCCCCAGATACTCATCATCCTTCCAGCACTAAAACTCCCACAGAAACCCAGTAAATGGAAGATATGGGCATTTACTCTGAGTTGAAACAACATGCTCCAATAAACAACTGAAGTAAAATAATAGTTCCAATGCTGGAAACTCAAGCTTAGACTAGAATCGAGCTCAAAGAAAGTCTTCAGCTGCTTGTAAAGAATAAAACAACATCCTAGCAGCAAATGGCTTTCTAAGAGAGAATTTTAAATTCAACAAGGCCCTCAAGAACCTGGT